ACCCAGATAAGGTGTGCTGCCCTGCCCATCACAGACCCACTGGGGCCTCCTCTGCATCCATCAGGGACTAATGAGCCAGAAATTAAGAGAATCATGCAAACCACTCTGCCCAGCCTCCAGCGTGTAGCAAGTGCTCAGCAACTGACATGTGCCACACATCGACTGGATTAATCCTCTCAATCCACCCCCCACACCCAGTTACTGGTACAAGTGGTTATGCATCTTGCCCAGGGCCACCTAGCACAGACCAGTGACCTGGGACTTGCCAAAGCCCAATTCTTTTTTTTTTTTTTTTTTTTTTGAGACAGAGTCTTGCTCAGTTGCCAGGCTAGAGTGCAGTGGTGGATCTCGGCTCACTGCAACCTCTGCCTCCCGGGTTCAAGCAATTCTCCTGCCTCAGCTTCCCCAGAAGCTGGGACTACAGGCACACACCACCACGCCCAGCTGATTTTTGTATTTTTAGTAGCGACAGGGTTTCATCATGTTAACCAAGATAGTCTTGATCTCTTAACCTCATGATTCACCCACCTTGGCCTACCAAAGTTCAGGAATTACAGGCGTGAGCCACTGTGCCTGGCCTGCCAAAGCCCAAGTCTTAACCAGTTGTCTGTGTGCAGCCTCAGCTAGCCCGCCTCAGGGGTGCAGTCAGGCTGAGGGTGGGCCCAGGGTCCCTGGGTAGGAGGGAGCCTGGTGTCATGGTGGCCACCAGGTATGGGTCTCAATGCTCACGGGGAGCCATGGCCACTAGGTGCACAGGGACTTCCGCCTCTGGCTCACCAGCCTGCCCAGCAACAAGTTCCCAGTATCCATACTGCAGAACGGCTCCAAGATGACCATTGAGCCGCCACGTGGTGTCAAGGCCAACCTGCTGAAGTCCTACAGCAGCCTCAGCGATGACTTCCTCAACTCCTGCCACAAGGTGAGGCACACTTGGTGCAGGCCCGCCCTATCTGGCCCCTGGCCCCACCCCTCACCTCCCCTGCCTCCCACCTCCCGCAGGTGACAGAGTTCAAGTCTCTCCTGTTGTCTCTGTGCTTGTTCCATGGGAACGCCCTGGAGCGCCGTAAGTTTGGGCCCCTAGGCTTCAACATCCCCTATGAGTTCACAGATGGAGACCTGCGCATCTGCATCAGCCAGCTCAAGATGTTCCTGGACGAATATGATGACATCCCCTACAAGGTGGGCCTGGGGCAGACTGGGGCCTGGGGACTGGGCACTTAATGGGAGCTCTCACCCACCCACCCCATAGGTCCTCAAGTACACAGCAGGGGAGATCAATTACGGGGGCCGTGTTACTGACGACTGGGACCGACGCTGCATCATGAACATCCTGGAGGACTTCTACAACCCCGACGTGCTCTCCCCTGAGCACAGCTACAGTGCCTCGGGCATCTACCACCAGATCCCGCCCACCAATGACTTCCACGTGAGTCCAGCCCAAAGTGCTGCACAGGAGGGGCCTGCCAGGCTGGGGTTCTGGGTGAGAGAAGACACAGCCCCCATCCTCCATCAGCTTTCTTTTCATTGATCGATCCATCCCACAAAGACAGCCTTGGCAAGGGAGTCGGTCCCTGCCCACTGGGGCTCGCTTCTGTGGGTGAATACCTGATCAGCCACTCCCTAGGTGGAATTACTCAGTGAGGGCTTGGGGCAGCTCCTCCAAGACAGTAACAAGGTCCAGACTGCAGTCAGGGAGGGCTGCCACAGAAATTATGCTTCCCCTAAGATGTGTGGGGAGAAGCCATGAGCTGGGGCTGGGTTGCATGGGTCATCAGTGTAAAGGGCCTGCACCAGGAGGGAGCCTGATGGGTTTGGGCCACTGAATAGAGGGACAGGGAATGGTTGGTGGTAACAAGGGGGCTGGGAGGGAACACCACACAATGCCTCAGAGGCCTGGAGTCCCAAGAGCAGGGACATGAATAAGGGTTATAAGTAGGGGTGAGAAGTGAGGGATGTGACAAGTGGGGATGTGCTCCATTGGAGGGTGACTCTGAAGGCTGGGGTGGAGCAAGCCAGGGGCTTCCATTTTGGCCTCCTTCCTCCTAGGGCTACCTCTCCTACATCAAGAGCCTGCCACTCAATGATATCCCTGAGATCTTTGGCCTGCACGACAATGCCAACATCACATTTGCCCAGAATGAGACATTTGCCCTGCTGGGTGCCATCATCCAGCTGCAACCCAAATCGTCTTCTGTGGGCAGCCAGGGCCGGGAGGAGGTAGGTGGTGTCAGAGGAAGGGGCCCAAGGGCTGGATGGGCTAGGCTCCACCATCCTGCCCACTCCCCTGTGGGACAAGCTCTGTGCATGTGGAATCCCACAGGGGATAAGGGGGGCCAGCCTTGACCCCCAGTGTTCCTTTGCCCCTGCAGATAGTGGAGGACATCGCCCAAAACATTCTGCTCAAGGTGCCTGAACCTATCAACTTGCAATTGGTGATGGCCAAATACCCAGTGCTGTATGAGGAATCAATGAACACAGTGCTAGTACAAGAGGTCATTAGGTAATCACCCTGCCATGCCCCTGCCCCGAGTCAGCGGCCACTGGACTGTAGAGAAATGACAGCAGGAGTTACTATGGACCAGGTGCCATTTATTATTCCCATTTTATAGATGAGTAAACTGAGGCCCCAAAATGTTCAATAAGCTGTCCAAGTTCAACTTCACATATTTGCTAAGGGTCAGAGCTGGGATTGTACCCAGTCCACCTGACACAGCTCTCTGCTCTTAGCCTTTATGTTCTGCCAATGTTTTTCAGTCTGTGGCCTTGAACTGGGGAGCACAGCCACTGCCACACGACCCCAGCCCATTGCCTGTTCCTTTGCCACTGGCCTCATAGGTACAATCGGCTGCTGCAGGTGATCACACAGACACTGCAAGACCTGCTCAAGGCACTCAAGGGGCTGGTGGTGATGTCCTCACAGCTGGAACTGATGGCTGCCAGCCTGTACAACAATACTGTGCCTGAGCTCTGGAGTGCCAAGGCCTACCCATCACTCAAGCCTCTGTCCTCGTGGGTCATGGATCTGCTGCAACGCCTGGACTTTCTGCAGGCCTGGATCAAAGGTGGCATCCCAGCCATCTTCTGGATCAGTGGCTTCTTCTTCCCCCAGGCTTTCTTGACAGGCACTCTGCAGAATTTTGCCCGCAAATTTGTCATCTCCATCGACACCATCTCCTTTGATTTCAAGGTCTGAGCACAGCCAGGGCCAGGTCAGGTGACCGGCTAGGGTACACCCCAGGCAGAAAAGACTCTGAGGCAATAGTTGGTTGGCAGTTGGGAAATCCCTAAGCCAGGGCCTGGGAAGACCCAGGTCAGAAGAGGCCATAAGTCCCAGGAATGGGTCTGGGCTGGGTCCATCAAAAATCCACAGGTGGAGGGACCAGACCACAGGCCCCAGGCTAAAGTGGTAGGTACATGATGAGCAGGCAGACAGCATTAGGCAACACTCAGCTCTCAGAAGGGAGTTTTGTGTCTCCTGATCAAAATCCTAACCCAGATTCTGGGTATTGGTATGTGTGTGGGGTGTGTCTGTGTCTACCCACAGGTAATGCCTGAGGCCTCAACACAATTAACACAAAGACCCCAAGTAGGGTGCTATATCCATGGACTCTTCCTGGAAGGTGCCCGCTGGGATCCAGAGGCCTTCCAGCTGGCTGAGTCTCAGCCCAAGGAGTTGTACACAGAGATGGCCGTTATCTGGCTCCTGCCAACACCCAACCGCAAGGCCCAAGACCAGGACTTTTACCTGTGCCCCATCTACAAGACACTGACTCGTGCTGGTATGATGCCTGGGGTGGGAGCCTACACTGCAGGTGGGGACCCAGGACTAACCCAACCCAGCCCAGCCCAAGCCAGTCAGACTGACCCAGGTTAGCTGAACAAGGAATGAATACAGAGATTTGGGCCAGGCCAGCAAGCTGCAAGCAGGTTAATGCCCAAAGCCTGCCATCCAGCTGTGGGGAGCACCCTGAGCTCCTATCCTTCAGCAGACCTACCTTGGGTCCTAGAAGCCTACAAGCCCTAGCCTGTCACTGAGGGTTCAAAGGGTAACTGAGGCCCAGAGCAGGAACTTGTCTGGGCTGGGTCCATCAGAGAATGAAAAGTAGCATAAACTTTGCCATCTCTATCTTCAGTCCCCAATACAGTAACCCTGGGTAGGCTTGAACCCTGGCCAGACCAGCTCATCCGGCAGGCTTCCTCTTGGGTCAGGGCTCCCCTCCCTGTCCTCCTCTACCCTGCCCCTACACTATCCCTGCTCTAGTAGTAATGGGGCATGACCTAACCCGTCCCCCTCCTTGCCCATTCCAGGAACACTATCAACCACAGGCCACTCCACCAACTATGTCATTGCTGTGGAGATCCCGACCCATCAGCCCCAGCGACACTGGATAAAGCGTGGTGTGGCCCTCATCTGTGCCCTGGACTACTAGACTCAGACAGAAGGGTTTGAGCCATTAAAGCTGAATTTTCTAAGCAGTCCAGCTGTGCCTCAGCTGCTTGCATGAGGGCCCCTCTGGACTCACTGCGAGTGGGGTGGTGAGGGGCTACAGCAGCCTCAGCAGACAATGCAGTCAGCAGGGGAGAGCAGGACAGAGGTGGCAGCTTTGACCAACTATGCCTGTACAAACACAAGGAAGAGACGCCCAGCGCCCTCCCAGGGAGAACACACCAGGCAAGATTAGAGGCAGTCTTGCCTCTTGACTGGGAGTCCCAGCACATCTCCATGTTGCAAAAGCCACAAATTTGGTGAAAGCCCTCTCCCTAGAAAGCATACCCTGTCCACAGCCCACCTGAAGCCCCTCCTTAGCTCAGGTTCTAAATCCCACGTCTAGGGTCCCAAGGATCTCTGGCCCAAGACAGCTGGACACTCAAGGATCATATACTTCTTGCCTTTCTGGTCCCAGAGCCCTGGGCCCACGAGGTCTAGAAAGTCCCTCCCTCCCACCACACACATGTAGCCCAGCCTCCATTTCTCAGGCCAGCAACCACAGGAGGGTCCATTTCTCAGGAGATTCTTAGGAGGGTTTTATTCATTCATTGATCCAGTATTTACAGGGGCTAGAGGGGTCAGGCTGTGCTCTGCCCAGAGGCAGCTGTCACACCTGCCAGCACCCCCATTCAGTCACTATGTACAGACAAGGGGCCTGCTTGGATCACCTTCAAAACCATCTGGCAGAGGCCATGGGGCTGTGTTGGGGCCTGGGCTCCAGAGGCAGTGCTGGGCCCATTACCCCTTGGCATCAGGCCCTCTGGAACACAGGGCTCCAACTAGTTGTCTTGATCCTGCTGTCCCCAACCCTGAGTGCCTTGCAGAGGCTGAGGAAGCTGGAGTAGCAGGGAGAGCTGAGTGGTGCCAGCTTCCTACAAGCAGCCCTGTCTCTGCTACCCCTAAGAGGAAGGAGACATGGTAATACTGAGGGGCTGGGCAGAGGCTCCTCTGAGCCCCAAGCTCCAGGGACAGAGACCCAGAGCCCAAGTTAGGCCCATACCTAGAGCCACAACACTGAAGGCAAAAAGCCCCAGAACCTTGCTGTGGAGAACAGTCTTGAGCAGCCTAGCTAGAACAAGGAAGACAGTTCACAGGGCACTGAATAGTTCCCACATGCTCTGCTCAGGCCATGGGATCCCAGCAGGCTGCTCGCCCAAACCCCACTGGGACATCCCACTCCCAACCCAGTCCAGTGCTGGGTCCCTGAGTTTTTGGCACTCTCCTAAGAGAAATGAAGAGAATAGGCCTGGCTTCCTTACAACAGGGACAGGCTGGTGGCTGGGGCTAGAGCAGCAGGGTCCAGTGCCCACCCGCCCCCAGCTGGGACCCTATAGTTGTGACTCTGGCATGATATAAGGACCTGGGCCAACCAGGACAGCTGTTAGGAGAGAGAGCACAGTCAGGAAGGAACCTATGTCAACATGGTGGCAAGATGTGTTGGAGCCCAGAAAAATAGATGTCTCTGATAGGTAAAATATATATTCTGCTGCCCAGGCAGAAGGGCCAGGTCCTGCTACTCCACAGCCGGCTGTGGAGGAAGAAGCTACAGTACCTCGTTGTGCCCCAACTCCAGATCCTGCCTCCTGAGCACTAAAGGGCTGATCTGCCCTGTGCCAGGCCTCAGGGCACGATGCAGGGAATATGGTCTATTCCCAGGGCCTGGGCTCTCTGGCTGGGATTATTCAGTAATACTGGGAAAGGGGAAAGTGGGGCAGGAAAGGACCCTAGTGAGGGTCACGCGGCAAGAGTGGGCTGCTGAGTCAGGGCCAGCAGTCCTCACTGGCGCTTGGCCTTGTAGGGGCGAGACCGTTTCCGCCGGTCAGGCTTCCGCTGCTTGTGGAGCCGGCCGATGCTGACCCCTTGGCGCCGCCGCACGGAGATATTCTGCTCCACTAGGTTGGCCAGCATGCCTGCAGAGAAACAGAGACCCTTGAGCAGGTGCTGGCTGCCTCAGTCCAGGAGCTGAGGCTCTAATGGCCCTCCCTGTCTGCTCAAGCCTCAGGAGAGGCCAGGGGAGGGGTGCTGAAGAACATGGCCCTCAGCAGGGCATGCCAGTTAAGACAGCAGTGCATCCCCTCACCTTCCTGAGCCAGCATGGAGATGAAGGTACAGATGAACTCATCGTAGTTGTGGGTCCTTCTCTGGTCATCAATCTGTAGGAGAGAAGAAGGCTGAGAGCACTGGAACCCATCTTGCCAGAGCAGCTACCAGCAGACCTCAGGAGGGGCCAGATCAGGGGACTGGAGAGATCACCCACCTTGAACTTCTTCCTCTTCTCCACCTCTTCCTTGAGGCATGCCTCATAATTTGCAATCTCAGCCTCCACACACTTCAGCAGTGCCAGCAGCTCCTGCCAAAACCCAGCATTGCACCTCTGATGAGGGCTGGCCAGCAACAAAGCCCCATGAGCAGTAGGCAGCTAGAGGCAAGGATGAGCAGCAAGTCCATGCCTACGGAGGCCCCTGCCGCCACCCAACCCAGAAAGTCTTCCTGGCACCTAGCTCCAACCACCAATCTTCACACCAAAGTTCTAATCAAGAACCTGGCACCTGGGCAGCAGGAGCTCAGGCCCTATTCTCCTCCAGGATTAAAGGAGAAAGACACAAAGAAGGCTCACCTTGGGTGAGTACTTCTCCCCACTCAAGGGCTCGCCAGGTCTCACCAGCCCCGTCTTCTCTCTGCTGTCCGTGGCTTCCACGACCTCCTTCTCCACTGGGCTGCTGGACCCCTGGCTGCCTTGGATAGGTCTGATGGAGGGCGAGGAACCCTTCCCACCTTCTGGGAAGAGAATTCACGAGAAATTATCAGAAAGCAGGACATTTTGTGGTCACTTAGCCACTTCCCTCCTTCCTCCTGGGTGCACCAAGTGGCCAGTGAGCCAGTCCAAGGCCCACCTGTCAGAGCCAGGGGACTCAGCACCCCATCCTCAGCCAAGTGCAGCAGGCCTGTGCTGATGACAGGACCCAGATCACGGACAGCACGGTTGTAGCGTATGCAGTCAACACGCAACAGGCTGTCATCCTCTCCAAAAAGCACCTTCGAGATGTGGGAGGTGACAGGGCTAGAGGGCCGCGTCGGGTTGGCTGAGCGGATGGGCGAGCGCAGTGGTGAGTTGAAAGCACTGCCGATCTCGGAGGCCGTATCTGTACTCTCGTTGCTGGGGGTGGGCGAGGGCTGCGAGTGTGTGGGCACTGCCACAGCCGGACTCCCAGCCCCACTGCTAGTCTTGATGGACAGAGGAATTGAGAGGTCCTTCTGGGACTCCTTGAGCTTCTCGGCCAAGACGTTGATGGTGTTGGGCTGCAACACTGACAGCTGCCCATCAGCAGAACTGCTCAATGCCCCTGGCTTCCCTGTTCCCTTCCGCTTATACCTTTGGGGCACAAGAAGATGTGAAGCAAGGGAACAGGCCAGGTGACCATACCCAGGAGTGCCCAAAAAATGGCTTGAATGCATCCTGACCTCCAGAGACTGACCCAAAAACTCCGTATACTTGGTCCAAGCAGCTTGAACCAGCCATGCTAAGCTGGCATCAAGCTCTGTCAGCTGCAGTCAAGTGTCCTCAAAGGACACCTCCTCTATTCCAGCTATCTCACTCCTGGCCTTTTGCCAGTGCCTTTTGTTCCAGCAAAGCTGCCTTCCCACCACCCACATCTCCTCCCCATCCCTGCCCAACCAACCCTTCAAGGCCTGGCTAAAAGGTCACTTCCAATAGCACATGATACATGCTTATGTACTCAGCCTTGTCCCCTAGCCCACCAAAAACTATTTGGGGACCTGCATTAGCCCTATCATGCCAGCGTCCCCCAGGGCCCCATACTCCACAGGTGCTCAACACTATCTGCTACACAGCATTCTGATACAGACTGAGATATTCAGGATGGGATCTGAAGCACCCAGAGCCTGGTAGCCTTAGAAAGCTGGGGCTAACCTAATGGCAGAGCTGGTGTTCTGCACGTCATCCTCCTCATCATCATCATAGTCGTCCTCGTCATCTGAGTACTGCTGGGGTGGGCGGACTGGAACTCGGCTGCGGCCCACACCTGCCGCCAGGTCTTCTTCCTCCTGGGGCAGAGACCAGGGCAGTTACAAACAAGCACTGCTCAACCCAGGCTGAGCCTAGACACAGCCAGAGAGAAAGCCAACATGGTTTTCCAGACAGAGTCAGCTGAACCCCTCTGGGTGTTCCACGGGCTGTCCTTGGCTCGTAGGGAGGCTGCCACCCACTTACACTGCATAGAAGCCCATGGAGGGCTTCTAAGAGAAGCCGAGTGCCCTGAAACACATGCCTTTATTTTGTCAGTAAAACCCAATCCATCAAGTTGTACCAAGGATCGTGCCCCAAACATTTAATCCCACAGCCATGTAACTAAATTCAAAGAAGCTCTCCCTGCCTCCCTAAACCCTGCTGTTGTGGGGGCCTTTTCATATCAGGCAGAGGAAGCTAGCAACCCAGGCCCAGGCAGCTTGACCCAGCCATGCCAAGGGTGAACACCAAGGAACCAGACGGGGAAATTAATTGCCTGTTGCGGCCTCTCAAGAGAATCAAGAAGAGAATCCTGCCAGGGTGTCTCCAGCTTACCTGCATGGGGGACTTGGCATAGTTGTGATTGTCTAGGAAGGCCGGCAGCCGCTGGACAATGGGAGTGGGGTTGGGGGGAGCCCCATTGAGGCTGCTGCCTGGAGGCTTCACCACCAGCTTGGGTTTGCTGGGAGGGCTGTGGGTTGGAGCTTGTGTGCATGAACCAGCCACCTCCTCCGCACCATCTGAGACAGGGTAAGAACACAAGCAGGGCCTCCAGTAGGGTCTCCAAGAAAAGCTCACAGTCTCCCCAGCCCTGTGAAACAGCACTTCCCAGAGAGGAACAGCTAAACCAGCTGGTGGAATGGGAGTCAGCAAGCTCTAAGTCATGATCCCGCAAAGAGACAGGGAAAAGAATGAGATGGGAAAAAAGAGGCAGAAAAAAAAGGCTCTAGAGAAAACAAGAAAGGGAGTATACATTAGAGAGACGGGCCCAGGGGCCTGCGGTAACAGCAGCCCTTTACAGGTACCTTTCTTTAGGGAAGGACTGCTCTCCCTCTACCTTCTGAGTGGGGAAGAACACTGCCCAAGAACCTCCCCAGAAAAACACTTGCCCTGTTTGGGCCTCCCAGGACAAACTATTAGGGGGTAGCTCTGAGGCCCATTAAAGGTCCCAAACCCCCCAGTACCTGTGTGGGTGCCCTCAGAGGCTACAGGGACCCTGTGTGCCTCCAGCACCAGCGGGGACTTGTTGCTGGCTGGCTTGGACTCCTCAGGCAGCTGTGACTCTTGAGACTTGTGGGTCTGAATCAGCTCTGGCTGTGTTACTCTTATCAGCTAACAACAGAATCCAAGGCTCAGAGGAGGAAGGGTAGACCCAGGCGTCTACCTTAAACAGCTAAGGGCTGAGGGCCTGAAGAAATAATGGCCTTGGCTCTACCCATTCACTCACAGGGAAATAAAACAGCCAGACCCAACTTCCTTTTTAGAAGCTATTCTTCCTCCCCACTCCAAGTCCCACCTTTCCCACAAGGAGAGCAAAGAAAAGGAATGGTTAGCTGAAGCCCAGACTATAAGAGAGAGAGTTCGGGAATCAGAGACAAATGTTGTGGGGGTAGAAAGGAGGAATGCAGGGAGGGTTGGGCTGGGCAGGGGCCAGGCAGAAGGGGCACCTACCTGCTGCAGAGCCTCTAGTACTGTCTGACGGTTCACTTTCAGCACGTGCAGCCTGGCCTCATACTTGATCCTTCGGTCGGGCACCACTGCCATCAGGTTGAAGCGGATGTCGTGGTAGGGCTCCCTGCAGTCACAGCCGCAGCCGTGAGAGCAGCTCCCGCCCTGGCCCCACCATCAGGTTGAAGCAGATATCCTGGCAGGGTTCCCTGCAGTCACACCTGCAGCTGTAGGTATAGGCCCCACCCCAATAGACGGGCAGCGACTAGCCATGCACGCCAGGCACCTCAGCTGGTACCTTCCAACGAGCTATATGAGGGCCTATCAGGAAGTGAACCAGCAGACCTGGGATACCTAAGGCTCCACTGGGGCCTGCCCCTCCCCCAGCCCACCCAGGAACAGGCCACAGGCAGCCTAGGCAGGAAATGGGACAAGGAGTTGAGAACCCATGATCTAAGCCTCATCTTGCCAGATTTACCACATGGCCCTGCAATTTACAAATCACCTGGACACTCTCTGTCCCTCCCAAAGTAGATACAGAGGGTAGAAGAAAGCAGGCAAAGGGCCCTTACCCTGCAGTGGCGAGGCCAATACGCTCCATGATAACCCGCCGGGCCTTGTCTGTCCATTCCTCATCCTCTCCCCAGGGCCCTAGTGGAGACCAAGACAAGGAATCAGCGAGCAGGAAACCCTGAGTTTGGGCAGGCCAGGAGTGGGAAGGAAGACAGAGAAGAGCAGTTGAGCCAGGGAGTCAGGAGCTGGTCGGGAAATAGGGTAGAGGGTGAAACACTGGCCAGGGCCAGGTGTCAGTATCCACGACCCCTGCCACTGGGTCCTACACACCACAGGGCCCTGATCCCCAGCTCCCTAGGAGGTAGGCAGACACACCCAACAGGCCTCCAGCTCACAATGCCTACCATGGTCAATGGGGTAGACCTTCAGCCCGTCCAGCTCAAAGAGCCGACCTGTGATAGGCACATAGCTGACAAAGTGGAATGCCTCCATGGTCCGCACTGCACTAAGGCCATTCTGCTTTTCAGGGAGGTGGCGTGGCTCGGGCCTGGAGAAGGACAGAGTCAGGGCCCAAAAAATGATATTCCCCCCACTCCCACCCCACATCAGCTCCCACAGCTCCCACACACCTGGCATGGCTATTATGTGCCTTGGCCAACTCCGGGGCATTGCCAATTGCATATCCTTTGCTCTACGGGGAAGAAAATAAGGCCGTATCAGAATAATTTCTCCTCAGGTAAGACTATGGGTTGAAGACAAAGCTTCAGAGAGCAGGCCTGAAGGCATTCCAGGAATCAGAAGGAACACAGATGAATTTTCTTAAAAGGCTGGTGGTGGAGGAAAAGAACTCTAGAGCCCTAAAGATATGGATTATGCTGGCCTTGCATGGTAATTAGCAGACACTGGAAATCAACATGGTCAGAGAGAAAAAGTCCTGACACAGAAAGTTCTGACGTGGTGTGACTTAAGGAAAGTCTCCTCCCTCCCTAGGCCTATCTCCTGTCCCCACAACTGGGCCTAAAAACAATGACCTTACACAATTAAAGGGTCAAACATAACAACAATCATTTGAAAAAGAAACAGCCTAATAGTAGCCAATATCATGTGGTAGCATTACCAGTGGCCCTCAGGGTCAGATCTGCCCAGTTGGCTATGAGCCAGGATGAACGAACTGTGGCCTACCCACCTCAGGGCTGAAGCCTTTGGTGAAATCCTTCATGCGACTCAGGGTAGGTCCCAGGTCCACGTTGCTGCAGTTCAGGAGCACGCTCAGCAAGGCATGAGTGGCACAAGAGTTGGGTATCAGCTGTGAAAACAAGAGTAGTCACCCATACACAGCACCCCTCACCGCAAGCCCCAAGCCCATATACATCAGGAACAGGAATCCAGAATAGGTCAGTCATATCTAGACAACTCCCCTTCTTAGCTTCCTTCATCTTTGCCTAATGTTTATTCACTTAACAAGCACCTACCAAATACCACCAGGTATCTGAGGACACAGAGAGTGGACTCAGACACCACCCTACTCTAAAGCTGTTCCATTTAATGAATTAGAGCTCAGTTCCTTCTGCCAGAAGGTTTCTGTAGCCACCATCCCTAGAATCTGCCTATCCCCTCCTTCTATCTTCCTCCACTTCTACTTCCCAAGCAAAAAAAAAAAAGAATGGCAGCATCCCACCCTCCAAACAAAGCACAGAGCCCAGCAGACCTGGTGGGCAAAGAACATGTTATTCACAATATCGTCATCAATCACAGACGTATCATCCACCAAGGTAGAAACCTTTCGCCGTGACCGGCGCTCTTCGATCCATTTGAACAGGAAGATAAATCCATATACAGGGCTGGGGGAAGTAAGAAGCAGAGCTAAATCAGCCAAAGGGCAGAAGGCAATCAGCATTCCCTTCTTTCTCCCCCTAATCCTTTGCACTGCGTCATCACTCAGGTGTCCTTGCTGTGATCCTACCTCTCCCTAACTTCTTCCCAACACTGTCTGAAGTGGCCCTGTGCCCTCACACACCAAAGGCCTTTCACAGGCAGAGCAAAACATAAGCTTCTGGCCGTGATGCTTCAGGAGTCCACCCAGTCTCCTTATGAAGTCTATGGTTCTGGGTAAGAGAAGAAAAGCTGGAACCAATGGTCAAGAATGGGATAGGGTAGGAACACAAAGTAAGACAAGAACAAAAACTCTGACGAGGAACTGAGGCACTAATTCTCACTTGTGGACCCCAGTGCAGTCAGGAAAGCAAATGAACACCCACATCAGTCTCTTCTGTTACAGAAAATTAAAGCAGACTTCTTGGTTCAGTCACTGTAGCAGTCTCTCTTACACCTCTGTTCTGCAGGACCACCCGGACAAGACCCTAAGTGTGGGCACCCAGGAGGGGCCTTGTCACCCCAACCAATGAATACAGGATGACTTTGTGTCAGGATTAAAGCCAGGCACACAAGGGCACACTGAAATTAATACATTATACAAATGCACAAAAGGCACTGTGTGACCTGGGTCTTCCTGCTGCCAGGCCAGAAAAGCAGCTGAACCAAAGGATGGCGAGGGGTGGGAGGAGGCTGCTACAAAAAGGGAAGCGCTGAGGAAAGACTGGGAGAAAATGAAGTATCAGTTTGATCAGGAGGCAGGCATCCAGAGAACCGGGCTGCTTCTTTATATGAGATTTTATAACGTAGGGTTCTTGGCACTGCCTTCCCTAAGGGGCCCTGTTCTCTGGGACCTTTCCCAGCATTCTGGGTGTAAGGGGTGGCCCTGGCGTACAGCCACTCACCCCTGGCATTTGCTCTGAAGGTCGTAGATCTCCTCCACTTGCACCCCTTTGACACCTGCATCAGGAAAGGAAAGCAGTCGGGAAGGATAGCCCCTGGTCCTCGAGCGAGGGCGCAGGGGTGGGCCCCCACAGCCCCGGTCCGGCAGGCAGAAGAGGCTCTTACCGAAATCTTCCACCAGCAGGGTGAAGAGGCCTGGGTGGGGCGACAAGAGGAGGGGGTGATGGTCAGACAGGCGCGTCCCGGGCCCATCCGGCCTCCCCAGCACCCCCAGCCGCTAACCCTCCCGGCCCCCTCCTCACCCGGGTCGCTCTCCAGCTCCAGCCAGCCCTTATTCATCTTCCCGCGGGGCGGCCCCTCAGCGCCATGTCCAGGCCCTCCCGCCCCACCGCAGCCCCCACCGGGAGCCCCCACCGCCCCCGGGACCCCTCAACCCCACACACAGACAACGGGCCCAGCCGCGTCACCCGCCCGCGCCGGCGGCATAACGTCATCAAGGCGCGACGGCCTTGCTCCGCCTTATGGGCTAGTCTTCCGCTGGTCAGACTGCACAAGAGGGCACAGGTTCGAAGGCAAATGCGCACGCGCGGAGGGGCGGGGCAAGACGGGGGCGGGGAAGGGGCGGGGCAAGGCGGTGCTGAGCGTTGAGGCTCCAGAGGAGGGACGGGGCGGGCGAGGGGAAGGGGCGAGGCCAAGCGGTGCTGGGAGCGCGTGGTGCGAGAGGAGGGGCGGGGCGGGCAAGGGAAAAAGGCGGGGCCGGGCGGTGCTGAGCGGAGGTAGTGGGAGAGGAGGGGCCGGGCGGTGCTGCGCCCAGAGGCGCGAGCGGAGGGGCGGGGCGGGCGAGGGGAAGGGGCGGGGCTGGGTGGTGCTGGGCGCTGAGGTGCTAGAGGAGGGGCGGGCCCGGTGCGCGGCCGTTAGTGAACAGCCGTTAGCAGTCCTGTTCTACCAACGGTCGGCGTCGCCGCCGTTCCCGAGGGTTACGGTCCGCGGGACCCGCCTCGGTTTGCGCGCTCGCCCCCTTCGCCGGCGCAGTCATCGCGCGGGGCGGCCGCCCGGAGGTGGCTACCACGGCCTGTGTCAACGACTAAAGCTCCGGGACAGCGGCGCCCTCAGCAACAGCTGAGAGGGCGACCCCGGCCGGGAGCGGCGGCCGGTGAGCTACCCCGAGGAGGAGCGGCGAGGCGACCTCGGCCCGGCCCCGCACCAGCCGCCCAGCAGGCGCGACATGAGCCTGATCTGGTATCCGCCGGATGGTCCTTGAGCCCCTTTTCTGGCTGTTACCTCCGGGGGAAGGTTGCGGCCACACTGACACGTATTTTCCAGATAAATCATTCTTGCGGCGGCGGGGCCGAACACGTTTCTTTATTTTTTATTTTCTCAACAAGCATTTACCCAGCACCTGTCCAGTGAAAACTTGATAAGCGTTTCGGGGAGCCTCCGCCGAGTTAGGAGGCCACGGCCTGGCAGCTCGTGGAAGCCGCATTTGCAACGCCCCCCTCGGAGGTTCTGAAGATCGTGGCGTCTTGTAACTAGCCGTGTGTGCACAGAATCCTACTCAAGGAACGTCTTGGCCCAGCGATGCAAAGAACTGAAGTTCCAAGGTTTTATTTCTATTGCTGGATGGTCGGGGTAGCCCCAGTAACTGGGGACTGCTCCGCAATCCGCTCACGTGGACCCCTGTGGGAATAGCAAGGTCAGGACACCCCCTTCTCTCTCCTCTTCCAGCCTGCCCAGCTTTCCCTTGAGGAAGAAGCCATCAGATGCCATTGCTTCTGCAACTCATGGGTTAGAGGAGGAGATAGAACAAGCACAAAGAAGGGGAGGGCAGGGTGGCTTTGGTTTTCTGAGCAGTCATTTCCTCAGTCGTCCTTATTCAGGCAGAATAGTTCAAAGCCCCTGAAGAGGGCTGGGTGTGGTGGCTCACGCCTGTAATCTCAACACTTTGGGAGGCCGAGGTGGGTGGATCAAGAGGTCAGGAGTTCGAGACCAGCCTGACCAATACGGTAAAATCCCTTCGCTACTAAAAATACAAAAAATTAGCCAGGCGTGTTGGCAGGTGCCTGTAATCTTAGCTATTTGACAGACTGAGGCAGAAGAATCACTTGAACCTGGGAGGTGGAGGTTGTGGTGAGCCGAGATCATACCACTGCACTCCAGCCTGGGCGACAGAGTGAGACCCCATCTTAAAAAAAAGTCCCTGAAGATATTCCCGATCTCCTGCCATGACCAGAGGCCATGGATACTGGTGTCTCTGGAGTGACCTGATTCACCCAGCACTCCTATGAAATGCTGTCCCTGACTAGACAGTCCTTCCTTCATAGCAGTGGATCTCTTTTCTCTTTCAGGGATCTCCCCCTTTACCAGTGAAAACTGTACATTTGTTTTACAGTTTGTTTACCACTGAAAACAGGTAACAGCCAAAGTTGGCTGACATTGGAAGCAGGAGGCAAAGTATCTTCTGCACTTTTAGGTATTGTACTTGGCTCAGGTGGAGACAAAGGTTGGAGACAGACCAAATCTCAGTGGCCACCTGAGCCTAGGTGAAAAGAATTGGTAAGAGAGGCCAGGCCTGGTGGCTCATGCCTGTAATCCCAGCACTTTGGGAGGCTGAGGCGGGCAGATCGTTGAGCCCAGTAATTGGAGACCAGCCTGGGCAACATGGCAAAACCCTATCTATAGAAAATTAGCTGGATGCAGTGGCATGGCACGTGTGGTCCCAGCTACTTGGGAGGCTGAGTCAGGAGGATCATCTGAGCCTGGGGAAGTGGGCGGAAACTCTAGTGAGCCATGGTCACACCACTGCACTCTGGCCTGGGCAACGCTGTGTGACCCTGTCTCAAAAAAAGAAAAGAAAAGAAAAGAAAGGCTGGGCGCGGTGGCTCACGCCTGTAATCCCAGCACTTTGGGAGACCAAGGTGGGCAGATCAAAAGGTCAGGAGATTGAGAAACCCCTTCTCTACTAAAAATACAAAAAATTAGCCAGGCATGTTGGCAGGTGCCTGTAATCCCAGCTACTTGACAGACTGAGACAGGAAAATAGCTTGAACCTGGGAGGCGGAGGTTGCAGTGAGCTGAGATCATGCCACTGCACTCCAGCCTGGCGACAGAGAGAGACTCTGTTCCATACAAAACAAAACAAAAAGTGATAGAGCCCAGTGGGTGTTTGTCAGTGTTACTTCTTGTCTCTCACTAGAGGGAGTCCTTGCTTTTAGGCAGCCTAAATCTCACACACAGGCTCCTTTGCCTAGGAAAAAGCTACCTTATCTAACTTCTACTGGATAGAATTAAGGCACCCATACTTAGGTACAAAAGAAGACTTTTTTCCTGAGTGCTACTTCATGTATTTCTTTGTAGACACAAAGAAAAAAGAACCATTTAGCTAGTCAAGTAATGGTTCTAAGTTCTTTTGCTGCTGTGTGATAGCAGTATAACATGAGAGTTAGTGTTGGCCTCTGGAGCCAGGCTACTTGAGTTCAGATCCCACCTATATCACTAACTCTCACCTTGGGCACTAACTCTCACCTTTCTGTGCCTCAGGGCCTTCATCTTGAAAATGGGGATAATAATGGTACATAATGCATGGTATTTTTATGAGTTAACACATGTCAAGTACCTAGAACAGTCCCTTTTATTCCATCACATGGATTGGGAGGTGAAGTGCACCATTGCCTTGACCCTGGGGGACTTGATAACCAAATATATAATTAAATTTCTTATCAAGCCCCATTTATATTTATAGCTGGAAGAGCCTGTGTTGTCTTCACAATAGTATAGAAGAATTCAAGATAGGAGAGAGAGACAGCAGCGAATGAAGACTGTAAAAGAAAAGAAGGAATGCAAAAGATTGAGGTAGAAACATAGGGAGTTTGGGAGAAATTGTCCAAAGGCCTGTGGTATCTCTATCTCCTGACCTTTTTGCCCCCCTTGTCATAGTCTTGGGGGTTGGGAATGGACCGTGTGGAAGCATACATGAGTGGTCTCCTGGAAGCTGTCATACCTGTCTTCTCAGTGCTGTCCTCAGTAGGAAAATGCTGACTCTAGAACCTTACTACCCAGATTCATATCCTGGCTCTGCCACTTGCCAACAGCTGTGACAGAAGCCACTTCATTTCTTTTGCCTCAGTTTCCTCATCTGGAAAATGTATATAATAATGGCACACATTTTAGAGTATTCTGTAGATTTATTGAGCCAATACATGTAAAGTCCCAAGAATAGTGCCTCACAACAGGAAATGCTTTTATCAATTTTGGTTCATTTTAATATGCTTTGTAAAGGTGGTACCACCTCAGATTCAAAGTAGTTGGCAGAAGAAACAGTAAAAAAGTAAAAGGGGGTTTGCTCTTGCATTCAATCAACATAGGCAGTACAGGCATTGTGGAAGAGAAAGATGCTAACAATCTGGTTCCTGCCCTTAAATAACTCAGTGGGTATGTTTTTTTGCACTTTAAAAAGAAATATGAAGTATGGCTGGGTGCAGTGGTTCATGCCTGCGATTCCAGCACTTTGGGAGGCTAGACGGATGGATCACTTGAGGTCAGGAGATTGAGACAAGCCTGGCCAACATGGTGAAACCCTGTCTCTACTAAAAATACAAAAATTAGCTGGGTGTGGTGGCATGCCTCTGTAATCCCAGCTACTCGGGAGGCTGAGGCAGGAGAATCGCTTGAGCCTGGGAAGCAGAGGTTGCAGTGAGCTGAGATCATGCCACTGCACTCCAGCCTGGGCAACAGAGCAAGACTCCATCTCAAAAATTATATATGTATATATGAAATATGAAAAGAAGCTAACATCATAGGCTTTTGATATTTTGGTCCTTCACTAGACCCATGAATGGCATTTTAAGGGAAATGTTACAAAGGTTATAGACAAGGTCACCAAAGAACACCTTATGCTTCTTGTTTCTCTTGTATAGAAAATCTGCCAAGACTAGGAAGGTAACCCAGAGGAAACCGTCTTCAGGGCCTGGTAAGAAAGACTGGAGCTTGTGTTCAGCCACGGCCTCCAGCCCTCAGCAAAGAAGGCCACCTGTGTGGGGCAGTACACTTGCTTCTCTCATTCTCAGCCCTACTTCCTTCCCAGATTCTCTAAGATCCTGAAGACTTAGGAACCATCATTTTAAATTACCATGTCTGAAGTTCAAGAAACAAGTTATTAAAGTCACTTTAGACCAAAAAAGAAAAAATTAAGTGAGCATTTATGGCCAACTTGTTCAATATAACCAGAATTATGTAAGCCTAATTAATACCAAATAAGACCTCATCCCAACCTTTCTCCTTGCCAAAATTACCCTTTTCCTAGTATTCTGCTCCTTCCTGACTTAGAGTGGTTACATTTTCACCCTTCTATTCTTAATGGTCAACTTGAGCCAAATTCTGAGTGTCCTCTCTTCCAGTTTGCTGGCTATGCCTTCAAGAACCTGGGGATCCCGAAAAATTAGGGGAATTTCTTCAGAAAGACAGTATCAGCGTCCATTATTTCTGTCTTGTGAGTATGAGACCTTTGCTTTGAATATCCTATGGCTTTTGATGTACTGACTGTTCTTTGTTTTTATATCCATCCTCAAATCCACAGCCATTTTTTTTCTTTTTTTCTTTTTTTTTAAGACGGAGTTTCACTCTTGTTACACAGGCTGGAGTACAATGGCTCTATCTCGGCCCACTGCAACCTCTGCCTCCTGGGTTCAAGCAATTCTGCCGCCTCAGCCTCCCAAGTAGCTGGGACTACAGGCTGGGCCACTATGCCCAGCTAATTTTTTTTTTCTTTTTGTATTTTGGTAGAGACGGGGTTTCACCATGTTGACCAGGATGGTCTCTATCTCCTGACCTCATGATCCACCTGCCTCAACCTCCCAAAGTGCTGGGATTATAGTCTTAATAGCTTTTTAAAATCTATTTTTAGGCTGGGTACAGTGTCTCATGCCTGTAATCCCAGCACTTTGTGGGGCTGAGGCAGCAGGAGCTCTTGAACCTCTTCAGGACCAGCCTGGGCAACCTTGTCTCTACAAAAAAAAACTAAAAAAAAAAAAAAAAAATGCTGGGCATGCTGGCAAATGCCTATAGTCCCAGCAGCTCAGGAGGCTGAGGCAAGAGGATTGCTTGGACCCTGGAGGTGGAGGTTGCAGTGAGCAGTGATCACACCACTGCACTCCAGCCTGGATGATAGACCGAGACCCTGCCTCAACAAAAGAAAAACATATGTGTCTGGTATATAATCCTGACAGTATGAAGTGAATACAGTAAAAAAGTCTCTTCCCTCAATAATATTCCCAATCCTTCTCTCTCTCCCCAGAAACAAATGCTGCCAAAGTATTAACATCCTTCCAATTATTATTTATTTATTTTTTTTAGATGGAGTCTTGCACTGTCGCCAGGCTGGTGTGCAGTGGCATGATCTCTGCTCACTGCAACCTCCAACTCTCTGGTTCAAGCAATTCTCCTGCCTCAGCCTCCCAAGTAACTGGGATTACAGGCCCATGCCACCACGCCCAGCTAATTTTTGTATTTTTTTAGTAGAGACAGGGTTTCGCCATGTTGGCCAGATGGTCTCGAGCTCCTGACCTTGTGATCCACACACCTCAGCCTCCCAAAGTGCTGGGATTATAGGCGTGAGCCACTGCGCCCAGTCCCTATTACTGTTTTTGATTAGTTATAACTTCCATACTGTAAAATTCACTTTTTTTTTTTTTGAGAGCAGAGTTTCACTTTCATCCAGGCTGAATGCAGTGGCATGATCCTAGCTCACTGCAACCTCCGCTTCCCAAGTTCAAGTGATTCTTCTGCCTCAGCCTCCTAAGCAGCTGAGATTAAAGGCAACTGCCACCACGCCAGCTAATTTTGTATTTTTAATAGACAGGTTTCACCATGTTAGCCAGGCTGGTCTTGAACAAAATTCACCAATTTTAAGTACACAGTTTGTTAAGTTTTGATAAATGTATGTCCCCATATAACCACCACCCCAATCAAAATAAGTAACATTTTCATCATCCCAGAAAGTTCCCTCCTGCCTGCTTTTCCAGTCAATCCCACTAGACATAATCACTGTTCTGATCTATGGATTATTTTTGGCTATTCTTTTACTTCATATAAATGAAATCATACAGTTTATCATCTTTTGTATCTGGCTTTTTTCTTTCAACACAGTATTTTGGAGATTCATCCATGTTGTTGCATGCATTTGTAGCTTGTGCCATTTTATTACCTGGTTGTATTCTGTTGCATGGATAAGTTACTATTTGGTTGTCTGTTCACCTGTTGATGAACATCTGAATTGTTTCCATTTGAGGACTACTATGAATAAAGCTATAAGCATTCACGTACAAGTCTTTTTGTGAACATGGGCTTTCACTTCTCTTGTGCAAAAGCCTAGAAGTAGAATTACTAGTGGTATGCTAATTAGATATTTAATTTTATGTGAGGTTTCCTCGTCACTGTCCAAAGTTATTGTACCAGTTTATACTCCTACCAGCAATTTATAAGAATTCCAGTTGGACAGTATTCTTGCCAAAATTTGGTTTTGTCAGTGTTTTTAATTTTAGCCATTCTACAGGGTGTGTTTTGGAATCTCCTTGTGGTTTTAATTTGCATTTTTCTGATGACTAAAGATGTTAGGGCTTCTTTTCATGTGCTTATTGGCCATTCACATACTTTCTTTTGTTAAGTATCTGTACAATATTTTTGCCCGTTTAAAATATTGAGTTGTTTTATTATTGAGTTGTAAGAATTGCTTATATATTCTAGATACAAATTCTTTTTCAAATATATATATTGAGACTGTTTTCTTCCTAGTCTTTGGCTTGCTTTTTCATTTTCTTTTTTTTTTTTATACTAGCTCATTAGTAGTAGATCCAAATTTTTTTTTTAATATCCACTTGACATCTGATGACTTTTCATTTTCTTAATGATGTATTTCAAAGAACAAGTTTGTAATTTTAATGAAGCCCAGTTTATCCATTTTTTCTTTTATGATCAGTGCTTTTTGGTTGTCGCAAGAAATCTTTGCCTACCCATAGAATTACCTTTGTCTAAATCAATTGACCATATAATCTGTGGAATGTGGATGATCTATTTATGTCATTGACCTATGTATCTATTCTTACACTAATCCCTACTGTCATGATTATTGTGGCTTTATAGTGTCTTGAAATTAAGCATTGTTAAGTGCAATATTTTCCAAGATTGTTTTGACTATCAGATCCTTTCTTTATAAAGTTTATATTAAGCTTGTCAATTTTCCTTTAAAAAAAATGTCTGCTGGGATTGTGATTGGTATTGCAGTAAATTTATAGGTCAATTTTTGGAAGAACTGACAAATAATATTGAACCTTCCAATCCATGGACATGGTATATTTCTTCATTTATTTGGGTCTTTTAAAATATATCTCAGCAACGTTTTGTAGTTTCAGTGAAGAAGTCTTGTACATCTTTCGTTAAATGTATTACTAAATATTTTGTGGTTATGCTATTGTAAATAGTATTTTTATTTCATTTTTAAGTTTATTGCTGGTATATTGAAATGCATTTTATTTTTGTATATTGATTTGTATCCTGTAATCTTGTTAAAATCAGTTTGATTAGTTGTTTTTGTTTTTATTTTGTTGTGAATGCCTTGTGTACACAGGATTCCCTATGCACATAACCATGTCATGTGTGAATAAAGACAGTTCTACTTCTTCCTCTCAATCTTTGCTTTTTATTTCTTCTTGCCTTGTTGTATTAGCTAGGACCTTCAACCTAACGTTAATTAGAAGTGGTGTGAGTTGTTATCCTTGTCTTATACCTAACATCAGGGGACAGTATCTACTTTTTCACTATTAAAGTATGTTAGCTGTAGGTTTTTTTCATAGATGTTTTTATCAGGTTGAAGATCTTTTATTCCTATATAGTTTGCCCAGAGTATCATGAATTTCATGATGCTGATTCAGGGTATTGAATTTTATCCTGTATCTGTTGAGATTATTTTGATTTTTCTCTTTAATGTCGTTTGTTACATCAACTAGATTCTCTAATGTTAAACTAATCTTGCATTCTTGGTATAAACCCTACTTGGTCATGATGTATGGTCCTTTTTATACAGTGCTGGATTCAGTTTCCATCTGTTTTGTTTGATTTTTATATCTATGCTCATGAGAAAGATTGGTCTGTGATTTTCCTTTCTCCTAAGTCCTATCAGGTGTCAGGGCTTAGTTATAATTTTGATGTATTTACAAGCATATACATTTTTTACATAAAAAATTATACAGAGTGCTTTGTATCTTGGTTGTTTCCCATCGTATATATTTTGGAGATCTTTCTGTATAGAACATAGAGATTTAGTGTTTTCTTTTTAATAGCTAATCAGTATTTCATGGTATAGGTATGCCAAAAAGTATCAAAACAAGTCCCTATTCAAGGACATTTAGATTGTTTCTGATCCTTCACTATTGATTTTTGTTCATAGAATCAATACATGCCTATTGCAGAAAACATGAATGATACTTAAAAGTATAAAGAAATCAAATCACTTATATTATCCTAAAGCCCTGAGATAATGTTTTAAAATATATTTGTTTCAACTATAATTGGAAGCATACATAATCTAAGTTATCCAATATTGTATAGTCATCTTTTCTTATAATAAGAAAAAATGGCCTAAGCTGTCATTACACATTCTATGTAATTACTGCAGGGAGAATACACCCTCCCTAGTATTTTTTGAAGATTCTTGGAGTATGTGTAGGGTACTGACATTCTCCCAATGTATGTAACAGAACAGTTTAGCTTTTTTTTCTTGATTTCCCATTCTAGATTCTGCTTTGGGAGCTTTCCATAAACAAAAGGCCCTTTAAAGTGTGTTTTAAAAGTGCAATTCCGGCCAGGCGCAGTGGCTCACACCTGTAATCCCAACACTGGGAGGCTGGGGTGGGTGGATCACAGGGTTGGGAGTTCAAGACCAGCCTGACCAAGACAGCAAAACCCCATCTCTACCAAAAATACAAAAAGTAGCCAGGGGCGGTCACAGGTGCCTATAATCCCAGCTACTCGGAGGCTGAGGCAGGAGAATCACTTAAACCTGGGCAGCAGAGGTTCCAGTGAGCCAAGATCACACCACTGCACTCTACCCTGGGCAACAGAGTCTAAGTCCTTCCCCTATAATGCAGAATAACAATAATCAAGAGATATTAAAACCCTGTTTTTCTTCCTGTAGTATTCTGAGAAGAGTATTTATCCTGTACTAAGAGGTGATGCAGCAGGAAGGCTAAGAGTGTGGATTCCATGGGCCTAGGTGTAAATAGCCAGCTTTGCTCCTCCTTGCCCTGTGCCCTGGGCGGGCAGTGTCACTTGCCACACTGCACCTTGGTGGCCTCCTCTGTAAGATGAAGGTCTTAATAGCATCTGCATTACAGAATTTTTTTTTTTTAGATAGTCTCGTTCTGTCACCCAGGCTGGAGTGTAATGGCGCAATCGCTGCTCACTACAACCTCCACCTCCCTGGTTCAAGTGATTCTCCTGCCTCAGCCTCCCGAGTAGCTGGGATTACAGGCACCCGTCACCAGGCCCGGCTAATTTTTGTATTTTTAGTAGAGACAGGGTTTCACCATGTTGGTCAGGCTTTTCTTGAACTCCTGACCTCAGATAGGCCACCCGCCTCAGCCTCCCAAAGTGCTAGGATTACAGGTGTGAGCCACTGTGCCTGGCCAAGGATTTTAAGCATAAAATGAGTAAATACAAAGGCAGTGTTTCCCTCAAAGTGCCAGCACACCAGAGCAGCCCTCAGTAAATCAGAGGCAGCCTTGAGCAAAAGTAAGAGTCCAGGTTCCAGAATTCTGTGTCCTTGAGCAAGTCGCATCATTTCTCCTATAAAATGAGAACAGTAATAGAGTACCTACATCCAAGGGCTGTTGGCGGATTCAGTGAATTAATATTAGAAAGACTCAGAGTACTCAACACATGGTTAGTGCTGTGTAAGCCTTCATTAAATAAATTACCCTGTCAATGCATATATATTCCACCAAGCGCTATTTAGCTCTCTTACCCTGTCCTCCTCCTTTTTTTTTTTTGAGACGGAGTTTCGCTCTTGTTACCCAGGCTGGAGTGCAATGGCACAATCTCGGCTCACCGCAATCTCTGCCTCCTGGGTTCAGGCAATTCTCCTGCCTCAGCCTCCTGAGCAGCCGGGATTACAGGCATGCACCACCATGCCCAGCTAATTTTTTGTATCTTTAGTAGAGACAGGGTTTCACCATGTTGACCAGGATGGTCTCGATCTCTTGACCTCGTGATCCACCCGCCTCGGCCTCCCAAAGTGCTGGGATTACAGGCTTGAGCCACTGCGCCCGGCACCCTGTCCTTCTTCTTACTTCACTGCATCCTTTCACTGATTACGGATGTTAACTACTGCCTCCAGATCTTATCTAGCAAGCTGCCTCAGAGGGGCCATTCCAACAGAGGTTTCCATGGATTCCTTCCTGAAGACATCAAAAAGGAGGTAGCCCGGGCATCTAGGAAGGTTAGAATCCCTTGAATTGAGGACCTTGGAGTAGGCCTCTCTTCATACCTCACCCATCATTCCTGTTTCTGTTCTCTTCCCTACTTCCTAGTTTAGAAGTCAAAGGACTCTTAGATTTTCAACTAGTTCTTATCTTAAGTCCCATATTCCTCTGGGGTATGATGTCCTAAGTGAGAAGAGGGAGAAACATCTTGAGAAAACAGGAAAGAACTCAGTGCTGCTTGAAGCTCAGCTTCCGAGTGCCCCAGAGCATTCAGGACCACTGAGGAAAGGGAATGGCTATTTCACATAACTCCCATTTAATAGAAAGATATGCCACACTGTATTTCTTTGCCTTTCTTGGGGTCCTGAGCACTGTCTGGTATCTCATTTGCAGAACTGCTTTGTGTGCAAGAAAAAGGGAGCTGCTATCAACTGCCAGAAGGATCAGTGCATCAGAAACTTCCATCTGCCTTGTGGCCAAGAAAGGGGTTGCCTTTCACAATTTTTTGGAGAGTACAAGTGAGTGGGGAAGGGGGAAAAGTCCGGCTTCCATTTTGCAACTTACTATTCAGCCATTAGTGAAATTAGAGTCCAGTTCTCACAAACAGGCCTGTTTTGATTCACCAGTGAATCTGTCCCTCCATTCAATAATGAGAAACAGTGCCTTGACTTGGAGATTTCACAGGGGTTTCTTCTTGCTTCCTGCCCCCTCCTTAAATTACAAATAGCTGGGGTTCTTAGCTGCTCTGCAATAACTGGGGCTTTCAGGGACTATAGGCTATGGAGACACTCCTGGGAGCTTTGCTCAATAGGAGAGCAGCCCTAAGAAGGCATGTGGCTATTCTTTACCCTGCTTCTCCTCCTCCCCATGAGTGTGGAGGTTCACTGGGCGCCAGCCTGGGTGGCTGACTGCCCCTCCTAGAGCGAGCCATTGGGAAACTGCATCGATGACAACCCCGAAACCAAGTCTGTTTACCTGCCACAGATCATTTTGTGAAAAACATCGCCCAACACAGAACATCCAACAGGGGAATGTAGGGGAGGAAAGCTGCATCTTGTGTTGTGAAGACTTATCCCAACAGAGTATTGAGAACATCCAGAGCCCATGTTGTAGTCAAGCCATCTACCACCGCAAGTGCATACAGGTAGGGCTTTTTCTGCCCTGAGGTCCTTCCATGATTGCCCTTGTTCTCTGCCTGGAACCAGAGCACCCTCAAGCATGCCTCAGCTTTGGTATTCCATGCTGGACGCCTATATGCAAGGCTGGTTTCCGGTAGTTAGAGGAAAGTCAGTCCAGTCTCTGGTCATCCCTGGTCTAGAGGACCTCACTCATAAGACTTAGACTAAGCAAAATACTTGGCATTGCTAGAGCAAATGGGCTCATCCCAGAATGAGCTGAGGAGCTTCCACATCAGCCTCACTTCCTGGGATGAAAGAAAAGGGAAACAGCCAGGCACAGTGGCTCACACCTGTAATCCCAGCACTCTGGGAGGCCAAGGTGGTGGGTGGGCGGTGGGGGGGATCATGAGGTCGAGAGGTTGAGACCATCCTGGCTAGCATGGTGAAACCCAGTCTCTACTAAAAATACAAAAATTAGCTGGGCTTGGTGGCACGCGCCTGTAGTCCCAGCTACTCAGGAGGCTGAAGTAGGAGAATCACTTGAACCCAAGAGGCAGACGTTGCAGTGAGCCAAGATCACGCCACTGCACTCCAGCCTGGTGACAGAGCAAGACTTCTCAAAATAAAGGCTGGGTGGTTCACGCCTGTAATCCCAGCACTTTGGGAGGCCATGACGGGTAGATCACGAGGTCAAGAGATCGAGACCATCCTGGCCAACATGGTGACACCCTGTCTCTACTAAAAATACAAAAATTAGCTGGGCGTGGTGGCTCATGCCTGTAATCCTAGCACTTTGGGAGGCCGAGGTGGGTGGATCACCGGAGTTTAGGAGTTCAAGACCAGCCTGGCCATCATGGTGAAACCCCATCTTTAAAAAAAAGAAAAAAAATACAATTAGCTGGGCATGGTAGCACGTGCCTGTAGTCCCAGCTACTCGGGAGGCTGAGGCAGGAGAATCACTTGAACCTGGGAGGTGGAGGTTGCAGTGATGCAGCAAGCCAAGATCACACCACTGTACTCCAGCTGGTGACAGAGTGAGACTCCGTCTCAATAAAAAGAAAGAAAGAAAGAGAAAGAAAGAGAGAGAGAAAGAAAGAAAGAAAGAAACAAACAAACAAACAAACAAACAAACAAACATGTATCCAGGTACCTGACCCCTACTTAGTACTGCAGAGCCCCATGGCCAGAGATGACCGCTGAGGCACTCCTGGGAATTCTCTTGAAAGTATTTTTGTCCCAGGTCTGACACCTGGATTTGCAGCCCTCAACCTAGCCCAGCCAAACTCCTTTTCCTGTACCCTCAGTCAAGCTCTCTTAGCAACATCCTCTTTGTGGGGTTGAAGGTGGGAGGGGAAAGAAGGTAGTCAAAGGGTTTTTACAAACACAAAGCTCTTCCCTGTTTCTCTTACAGAAATATGCCCACACATCAGCAAAGCATTTCTTCAAATGTCCACAGTGTAACAATCGAAAAGAGTTTCCTCAAGAAATGCTGAGAATGGGAATTCATATTCCAGACAGGTAGTGGGAACCCCAAAGCAGAAATGGAGCCTGGGAGTGGGTTGCCTAGATTTCTAGAGAGGAGGTGAGAGGATAGTAGAGAATGAGAGCAGCAGAGGCACTGATAGTGAAGAAGGAAGGAGAAGAGGGAGTGCTTTTCAATTATCAAAACAGAAGGGAGGGGAAAAAGTTTGGGCAGGGGTGTGTATTGCTAAAAAGGGCACTTGGAGAATCAGAATTCCCTAGGGGATTGAGTTCTTGAATTCCAGAGTGGAACTGAAGAATCAGCATGCATGTTCCATTCATCCTGCTTCAACCCTCTCCCACTGCCAGGCCACTTGACCAGCCTTGTTGGAAGTGTTCAGGCAGCTTGCTGAACAATTACTGTGCTTAACTTGGGTTCTTCCTAGCTCCTCCCTGATGGACAAAAGTTTTACCAACCTATCATGTTCTTATTCACTGTTTCTTCTCCCACTGCAGAGATGCTGCCTGGGAACTTGAGCCAGGGGCTTTCTCAGAGTTATATCAGCGCTATCAGCACTGTGATGCCCCCATCTGTCTGTATGAACAAGGCAGAGACAGCTTTGAGGATGAAGGGTAAGGGAAGGCTTCTGGCTAGAAAGAACTCTCATCAGTGTTATTTTAGAGTTAGACCTTGACACAGTTATGAGAAGCAAGAAATTCACTCTTGCATGCAGAACTCAGGGTAAACACAATTGCCAAGTCTCATTCTTGGCCAGCCCCTGACTCACTTGTGTGCAACTGAACAAGTCTCCCTTGCAAGGTCTGCTTCACCTTGTGCCCAGTGGAGAAACACTCAGAGCCAATTCCTTTCCTAATCTACCTTTCAAGGGGCTATGACTGATGGCAGGCTCCTAGGATCAGCACTCATCCTCTGTGCCATACATTCATCATGGGTATAATGTGCTGTAAAACATGCCTGGCCCATAGCAAACATCCAAGAATGGCAGTTAGTGTTCTGTATGTCTCCACAACCCTTCCTGGGCTCTTCCTGTAGGAGGTGGTGCCTCATTCTGTGTGCTACATGTGGATCCCACGGAACCCACAGGGACTGCTCCTCTCTTAGATCCAACAGTAAGACATGGGAGTGTGAGGAGTGTTCACCTTCTGCTTCAGCCACAGGTGAGGCTGGAGGGATGAGCTGGCCTCAGAGCAGGGAGGAGGCTGTAGGGACTTGTGGTACCTGGGAAAGGAGGAAGGCATGTCGCCAGAGGGGGATTAATAGTTGGTGACTTTGACTTTGGAAGAGAAGTGGCTAGGGAGGGGCTTAAGGACCTGCGCCTCGGAGAAGCAGAGGCTTGAGTTTTCCTCTCCTGCCTTTCTCTCACCACAGACTACATACCTGAAAACTCAGGGGACATGCTGCAGCAGCACCTTCCACCCTGAGGAACATTTCTGCAGAGACAACAGCCTGGAAGAAAACCCAGGTCTTTCTTGGACTGATTGGCCAGAACCTTCCTTATTAGAAAAGCCAGAGTCTTCTCATGGCAGTAGGAGCCGCTCCTGGAAGTCCAAAGGTGTCAGAATCACTAACAGCTGCAAAAAATCCCAGTAACATGTTCTGAGTAGCTGCTATCCTGCACAATAGGGTATGAAGCTGTGCTCCTCCATCTGGTTTGGGGAGGGAGACTGTGAGACAAGGAAGCCAGGCCAGCAGTGAGACTATGAGCCAAGAAAAGAGAAATCTCAGGGGAGCGTGAGGAGGGAACAGTCCAGATGCCAACAAGGAAACGCGTTATGGCTACAAGAGTGCCTCTGCTCTTCCTCCTGGATTTCCAGAGGGTCCTTTCTCCTCCTCTCCCACCAAAATTCTTCCACCTTAATCTGATTCTCATATGCCTCTTGTTACTTCACCCACGTTTGTTGTTATGCAAATAAAGGTTTTCTCTCCATTGGTGTCTCCTTATAAATTCATTCTGAAATTTGTCTGGGAGGTAAAGATTCTAGAGGGTAGAGTATGAGAATAAGAAAACACCCTCCTAATCCATAAAATTCAGGGAATTAATGTAGAACTTTCAGCTTAGACTATAGACATGTTTCTTTGGAGGGAAAGAAACCTGTTTATACAGAAATTGGCATTAAAGAGGCAGAGAATCTTCATCAATCATTGTGCAAATAATAAGTACACAGATTCTCATTAGGGAAGTGAGCCAGCATAGCAGTCCACACTGAACGGAGAATAGGCCCTTGTTGCAAGGCTTGTGGCCCCTGTCAAGGACTCCCAAATAGGTCAGGGATAGCCATGCTCCTCATATGGGGCATAAGGGATTCCATTCTCTCCAGGCTGGTGTGGGCTTCAGCACACCTCCACAGCATGAGTGAGCCTGGTCAAACTCTCACTCTGGTAGTTCAAGCATTTCTGTCCAGAGTATAAGTATGAATTTTCGTGCTAGGACATTTAAATTAGGCAAGGTAGCCAGGGGTGGTGGCTCACACCTGTAATCCCAGCACTTTGGGAGGCCAATCACTTGAGGTCAGGGCGGATCCCTTGAGGTCAAGAGTTTGAGACGAACATGGTGAAACCCCATCTCTACTGAAAATACAAAAATTATCTGGGCATGGTGGTGGGGTCCTGTTATCCCAGCTACTCGGGAGGCTGAAGCAGGAGAATCGCTTGAATCAGGGAGATGGAGGTTGCAGTGAGCCAAGACCATGCCACTGCACTCCAGCCTGGGTGACAGTGCAAGACTCCATCTCATACAAAAAACAGGCAAGACAACTAGGATGGGAATCTGGCAGAAGGCCTAGGGAGAAATTGAATAAAGCCTATCTTACATTTGTATATTTTTAATGATTTCATGAAATTTGGATTAGTGGGGAGAACTCAGAACCATTGCCAGATAGTAAGTTAACATCTCACCACTGAATCATTGCCACTAATGGTGGAAGACAATATTCTCATTCCAAACATTGCAGACCATGAAGACTTACATCCAAGGTGTATATGCAATGAGTGCCTTCAGATTTGAGCAAATCTGCTTGAAATCAGATGGAGACTATCTGTGTCTTTTTATTATCAAAGTATACAGGCAAAGTAACATAGACTTTTAAAAGTCTAATAGTACTAAAAGGATTATAATGAAAAACAGTTTTGACTTACCCTTCCCTGCTTTCGTTCCTACTCTCTGAAGGCAACTACTTTCCATTTTTTTAAAGCTGTTTCTTAATTTACTAATCTTAGACATTATTGACTTTCTATTATGTTACAAAAAGATTTAGCAACTTTAGAATCTTCCTGTTTTTGGCCAGGCATGGTGGCTCATGCCTGTAATCCCAGCCCTCTGAGGGGCCGAGGCCGGCAGATCACTTAAGGTTAGGAGTTCAAGTCCAGCCTGGCCAACATGGCAAAACCCATCTCTACTAAAAACACAAAAATTAGCCCAGCACGGTGGTGGGCACCTATTATCCCAGCTACTCAGGAGGCTGAGGCAGGAGAATCACTTGAGCCCAGGAGGCAGAGGTTGCAGTAAGCTGAGATGGTGCCACTGCACTCCAGCCTGGTTGACAAAGCAAGACTCTGTCTCAAAAAAATTTAACTTAAAATACAGAATCTTCCCATTTTCAGTCACCTCAGATAATTGCATCACGATTTTTGTTAAATTAACTTTCAATGTTTATATTAATATGATGATAGAAATACTAGTTACCACAGAGCCAGGCAGTACCCTATGATCTTGCTTGGGGAGAGTAGAAATAGATGTTAAATAAAAATTTCCCAAAGCACCTGCTCCTCTTCTTCTAGTCCTTAACTTTACAGGAACAGAAACCTCAGAATTTCATTTGGCTTCCCTCTCTGCTCAGCCAGCCTCTTTCTTATCAGTTTGACTGTTTTTCAAATGTTTGCCTTCTTCTCTTTCCCATTGTCAGTGCTCAGCTCAGACATCTGTGCCTCATAGGACGGCAGCAAAAGCCTTCTATCTGCATGGTTTTCTGTATCCACTTGCTTCTCTGACACATCCACCCTTTTCCCTTCTGCCAATTACCATAACACATCTGCTAACTCTTTGCTCAGGATGGCCCTGCTGAGATTGGCATTCAAGACCTTCTTACAAATAGGGCCTTCCACAGCTGCATCTCCCAGGACACCCCACCCACAGGCATTCTGTCCTGAATACCTCAGAATGCTGGGCATCCATCCTCAGCCTGTTAAACACAACATAAGGGCTACTTCTTCAGCCCTAGGAACTCTTACTGCCTCTGTTTGTACCCCCGTTATAGCCCATGTCATTCTCCGTCTGTCCTACAGTTGTGGGTCTGTCTTTCCTGCTAGGTCGGGAACTCCTTACTAGCAGGGACCTGTCTGTCTTATTAACCTTTCTTCCCCTCATGATATCTGGTCAGGACCCCATGTTCAGAGGCAGTTTAATGTCTACAAAATCGATGGATGCTCCATACCCTGTATTCATAAGCCTGTGTTTTGCTGCCAAACACCAGATGGCACTGTTAGTATGTTGATGAAGATGATTATAAACCCTCAGACGAGGAAGGCTGGGAATGGCTTATAGAAATCACACCTGGAAGGCTGGGAATGGCTTATGGAAATCTTGCTTCTGTTTTGAGATTGCATGAGACTTACCGCTTCTCACTTGTTCTAAACGCATCTATTTGAGTTTATTTACGAAGCATGTTCCTGTTGTGGTTAGACATGAGTTTGAAAGATACTATTGACGCTTCCCCCTCACAGGTCAAATCCTCAGACAATCCTCTCTCCAGACCCAAAGCAGCCCTCTTAACCCCCCAAAAATGTCTCCCAATTACTCAATGAGAGGCACCCAGCTGCCTCACTAATTCCAACCCACTGCTGGCAAAAAATTGCTGGCTCTGCATCTCCCTTTCCTCCTCCTCTTACACTGCTATTCCTGCCCTGCCAGCCAGCTGGGCAACCTCTTCCATCTCCCTCCACCTCTGCACCTCTTTTAACAGTCCCCATCTCTACCCTCCAATAGAGCTTCTCTATTTCTTAGATAAGTTTAGCAAAACTTCCCCAGACATTTCATACCAACAAGCTGCTATACTTCTCAACTATTTACAGCAAGTCTCACCTCATATTAACTCTACTCCGCCCATGTTAGGACCCCTTACGACACAAACAACCATCCCCACTCCTGCTCCTCTATGCATTTACCATCAACAAACCACTGGAATTCCCTTGGGTAATCGTCCACCTTCTAAGTGCTCCTTTAAAAGTGAGGACATGAAGGATAGCTATGCGGTGAAACATGTGGTCTGGTTGACTTGAGAGAAAAGGAATGTTGCACAAGGATTGTGAGTGTGGAAGGGGGAATGGAGGGATGGAAGCAACATTGGAATAAACCCTCATGGATGAAGTCTGGCAAATTGAAAGTATAAATGAATGGGCCATGAGTGTTCAGAGGCAGGAAAGAAAGGTTTAAATACCCCTTACTCTTCATCTCCAAAGCCCTGACACACATGTTAATATGCCTTTAGGAGCATACTCACTTTGCCTCACGGACAACTGGCTGTCACTACTAATAACCTCAAAATAGTAACAGTCATTATTGTCTAGGTCGGCACTTTCCGTGTCTCTCACGCCATCCTTGGCCACCCTCTCCCTGTTCCTCAAACTCTCCTCCTAGCCCTTCTTCATGCTTACTAATACCCAGCCCTACAAATGATAGTGACAGACTATTTGTTGATACTACGAGCTCCCTCATACATTATGAAAATCAAACCGCCCCCATCACACAGTTAACTCATCAGTCTCTCTTTCAAACCCTAACTGCTGCCGTTCTTGCTGGATCTTTAGGAGTTTGAGTATCTGACTCCCCTTTCAAGGATTCCTCCCACCTTTTCATCCTACACTTTCAACTCTGCCTCGCCCCAGGCATCTTCTTTTTATGTGGCTCTTCCACTTATATGTGTCTACCCGCTAACTGGACAGGAACCTGTGCCTTAGTCTTCCTTATTCCTAAAATTCAATTTGCCACATGGTAGTAAACAACTGCCTGTCCCCCTACTCGTCAAAAAAGAGTCATCCAGCTAATTCCATTACTCATGGGAATAGGGCTTGCAGCCTCCACTGTGGGCCTTGGAACTGGCACAGTGGGGGTCACCACCTCTCACAACATTCCACAGTCTGGCTACTGACTTCTCTGCCAGCATTACAGCATAATACTTTGTCTGTCCTTCAGGCTCAGATTGACTCTTTAGCTGCAGTCGTCCTCCAGAACCGTTGTGGCCTCGACTTAGCGCAGAAAAGGGAGGACTCTGCAGATTTCTAAATAAGGAATGCTGTTTTTACTTAAACCAGTCAGGCCTAGTTTATAATAATATCAAAAGGCTCAAAGACAAGGTCCAGAAATTTGCTAATCAGGCAAGTAAGTATGCTGACCCCACCTGGCCATTTTCTAACTGGAAGCCATGGCTCTTTCGAATACTCACTCCCCTAATACCCATCTTCCTTCTTCTTTAATTTGGACCTTGCATTTTCCAATTAGTCTCTCAATTCCTACAAAACCATATCCATAGCCGGGCACAGTGGCTCACACCTGTAACCCCAGCACTTTGGGAGGCTGAGACAGGCAGATCACAAGGTCAAGAGATCAAGACCATCCTGGCCAACACAGTGAAACCCTATCTCTACCAAAAATAAAAAAATTAGCTGGGTATGTTGGCAGATGCCATAGTCCCAGCTACTCGGGAGGTTGAGGCAGGAGAATTGCCTGAACCCGGGAGGCAGAGGTTGCGGTGAGCCGAGATCGCGCCATTGCACTCCAGCCTGGGTAACAAGAGCGAAACTCCATCTCAAAAAAAAAACGGTATCCAGGCCATCACTAATCACTCTATAAGGCAAATGCAACTTTTAACAATCTCACAATATCACCCCCTGGCCCAGGATCTCTCAGCTGCTTAAAGCAAAACGCCTTGCCAA